GCCCCATGCATAGTTTTTTTCTCAATACACACTTCCTATAAACTTGTTAAAACACCCCCTCATATACATGCATTTCAAATTTGTTCTCACCAAAATAAACTTGTACCATCATAGCCTCAAGGAGCCTTCTCAGAGGAGTGTGTGGTCAGCTGGCACCTCCCAGAGCCCTCATCTCAGCTTCCCCTCCATTTCAGAGCACTGTTGAGGGAGTTTTGGAATCCCTGAGTCATAAGGAACAGCCAGTGCCGGACTGGCTTGTGTCAGCAATTAGGGCTGTACAAGCCAGGAGAAAAAACTAGGGAGAGGTGAGCCAGCTGTTGAAAGAACCCGCACGGCCTGATGTCAGGAGACAGCTCCTCCCAGCTGACCTGCTAGCCCAAGGTGCTGTCCACTCCTGAGAAATGCAAGGAAAGTCCAGGACTGGCACAGTGGTATAGCAAGCTGATCCTCTGCCTGCAGTGCCAGCATCCCATACGGCACTGGTTCAAGTCCCCACTGTTCTACTTCCAGTCCAGCCCCCTACTAATGGCTTAAGAAGCAGAGAATGGCCCCAAAATTCCTGGCTCCCGGCTTCAGACCAGGCCAGCTCTGACCATTGCAGGCATTTAGCAAGTGAACCAGTGAATGTATGGTTCATGTTCTCTCTCTCTCTCTCTCTCTCTCTCTCTCTCCCTCCCTCTCTCCTCCTCCCTCTCCTCTGACTTTCATACAAATCTTTTTTAATGTGAAAATATGGACAGAATAGGTTGCTTAAAAATTCAGAAATATCTATAAGAAGAACTTCTGGTTAGTAATTCAAATTTTCTCTGGATTGCATGAGATCAAGAGGAAGAATGATCTTTAAAAAAAAAAAGTATTTGAAAGGCAAATATACACAGAGACAGAGAGAGTGCATTCACTGGTTCACTCCCAGTGGCTACAGCTGCTGCAGCTGAGCCAATCTAAACCCAGTACCCAAGAACTTGAGCCATCCTCCACTGCTTCCCCAAGTCATAAGCAAGGAGCTGAATTGGAGATGGATCTGCCAGGACATGAACCGGCATCCTTACGGGGTACAAATGCCACAAACAGAAGCTTAGCTTGCACCAGTCCCCAAAAATGCCCCTTCAGAAAAGTACAATCTGAAGAGCAGACATTTAGCCTAGTACCTAAGATGTCCACAGTTCATATTAGCGTGCTTGGGTTCCATTCCCAGCTGCAGTTCCCAATGCCAGCTTGGCACCAGTGTGGCCCCTGGGAGGCTGGCAGCAGTGGTACCTGAAGTCACTGGGCTCCTGCTGCCACATGACCTGCAGTACACCCCCTGCTCCTGGCTCTGGCCTTAGCCCTGCCCAGATACTCACGCTCTCTGTGTATGTGTGTGTGTGTCTCAGATTTGTAATTCAAAAAACTACTGTGCTGTATGTGATTTTTAATAAGCGAAGAATTTAGAATGGAATTTTTTAAATATTTGTTTTTATTGGAAAGGCAGATTTATGCAGAGAAGGAGAGACAGAGGAAAAGATCCTCCATCCACTGATTTACTCCCCAAGTGGTCACAACAGGTGAGCCAATCTGAAGCCAGGAGCTTCTTCCCTCGTGGGTACAGGTCTGAAAGCCTTGGACCATCTTCCACTGCCTTTCCAGCCCAAAGCTGGGGGCTGGATGGGAAGTGGAGCTGCTGGGACTATAACTAGCACCCATATGGGATCCCAGTGCGTTCAAGGCAAGGACTTTAGCTGCTAGCACATCGCGCCAGGCTCATTAGTGAACTTACTAAGGGATCAAAAGGACAGGAACCCATAGGGAAATACGTTGGGTTTATGACCAGGTAGTTCTATGGCCACCCACTTCCAGTTGGATGTCTCTGATCATCCACAGGTGGGCATGACTTCAGCGTCCATGGGTGATGAGAGCCCTATGAACATTTTGAGGTCAGAATCGTAAGTGTCTGTATTATGGACCCATAAGTGTCCGTGTTATGCCTAGAATTCAGCATGGTGGCTCAACTGGCTAATCATCCACCTCCAAGCACCAGCATCCTATATGGGCACCAGTTCATGTCCTGGCAGCTCCACTTCCCATCCAGCTCCCTGCTTGTGGCTTGGGAAGGCAGTCAAGGACACCCAAAACCTTGGGACCCTGACCCATGTGGGAGACCCAGAAGAAGCTCCTGGCTCCTGGCATCAGATCAGCTCAGCTCCAGCTGTTGCAACCACTTGGGGAGTAAACACTAGACACAGTAGCCTAGTGGCTAAAGTGCTGGCCTTGAACTTGCCAGGATCCCTTATGGACACCGGTTCTACTCCCAGCAGCCCCACTTCCCAATCCAGCTCCCTGCTCCCTGGAAAGCAGTTGAGGATGGCCCAAAGCTTTGGGACCCTGTACCCACGTGGGAGACCTGGAAGAATCTCCAAGCTCCTGGCTTTGGATTGGCTCAGCTCCAGCCTTTGTGGCTGTTTGGGGAATGAACCATCAGATGGAAGATCTTCCTCTCTGTCTCTTCCCCTCTCTGTATATTTTACCTTTCCAATATAAATAAATAAATCTTAAAAAAACAACATACAAACAAACAAACAAAAAAACAAACCTCTTGCCTGTCACCTCCAGTAAACATCACACAGAGCCCTCGTCTCATCAAGGCCAAGGTCCTGATGATCAGACAGCATCATCCAGGAGGAGGGTGTCACCTACAGCACCCCGAGTGGATTTTGTTGTGAGTTTGATTAACATAGCAAGCCACTTACAGAGACTATTGGGCAAAACCCACATGCATTTCTGTTGTGTTTGCCATTGTCCCGAGCGCCGCGTGTGGATGTGTTGGTCACAGTGGGGCCTCTTCAGGAACAGCAGGACGATGGTAGGCAAAGCATGACAGGTCTTTAGAGGGACGTGCCTTCTCTAACCCCAGGCCCACAAGCAGACTGTGGGCTCAAAGAGAGAGCCATGAATTGAGCGTTGACAGCGGGCCACGGCGGCCCAAAGGCTCAGGTGGTTGTCAGCCATAAGTTTAGCTCAGCGCTTTGAGTAATTTGTCACGCCTCGCTCAGCCCCTGCTGGGCCGGCACGTGCCAGCTTAGTGTCAGACTGCCTGTTCGCCAGACGGCCACTCGGGCCTAGCGTCCTGCTGTTCCCCAGACCAGTGGCTTGCTGGGGCTGTGCACGGAGGGCCGAGCCGCCGCGACAGCCAAGTGCTGTGCAGAATAAGCGTGTTCATAATGAGACGTGAATGGCATTTGCAGGGTCCCTCTAGAATTGGGCCGGAGCAGGCGCCTCTCGCTGAGGAAGTTTGGCAGCCTGTTCATTAAGGCGAGTCACCAGGAGTTCAGCCACAGTTGATGGGGCCAGTCCAGGCTCAGGCTGCTCCGGCCTGGGGCTGCTGGGACCATCTTTAGAAAAATTTATGAATCATCCTCCGAGGGACCACTTTGGAAGTCTTCACACTCAGCTTTCCTTCTTCAAGCATGGCACAGGGCAGGGCAGAGAGGGAAAGGTCTGCCCAGCACTGTGCAGTAGTGTTTTCATTGTACCAACATGTGCCTTAGCTAGGAATCTGTGATGGTGACCCCCGTCGTATAGGGCTGCAGAGTAATTGAGATATGCAAGGGGAGCAGTGGAACTGCATTCTCATTTTGTAATTTTCGTTAATTAAAACTTCAATCGAGATGGCACACCGTGTGGCTCACACCTGCCGTATTGGATGGCACAGCCTCTGGCGTGCCCTGCCACCAGCCTCAGCTGTGACTAAAGCAGGATGGAGAAGCCAGAGTCCACATCCTTGCCATAAGAAAATAGAAAGTTTGTCTGTTTTCAAATGCAGTCTCTATTGGAAGCTAATTAGAAGGGTCTGTCAGCCATGTATATTTTTTTAAAGGGGTCATTTTGAAAAGCCGGCTTTAAATGTGCTTTTAATGTTCCGGTGATCCACCTTCCCAGTATTTCTGGAGAATGAACACGATTTCCCACGGGAATCAAACTTTTGCATTGATATTGAGGGAAGGGAAAATGAGATGTCATGCTGGCTTCCCCGAGTGTTAATTCGCCAAGTCGGACACGTGGCGCCTGCCGGATCGTGCCGACGTTATCCTGTGATTGAAAGTGCGTGATGCACCTTCGGAGGAAACGGCAGCCACGCAGAAAAGGGCAAAGCTGCTTCCTGCCCTGTGAGAGGCTGCCACACGCAGGGGTCCTATTAGGACAGCTGGAAAGGTGCTTGGCCTGTTACGCTTGTAAGTTTTATTGGTGACTGGTTTTTGATTACACATTTGAATGCTATGAAGCTCCAGACAGCAGTTTTAATTAAAAGGCAATAGTCTTTTTTTTTAATGATTAGTATTACATTGTGTACTCCTAACCCACGTTAGTCCTTGTATCCTGATGCCCATAGCTTACTTTGGTTTGGAGTTTTTACTATCTGTCCCTCCAAAGAGTATATCTTCCAAACCCTACGGCCCTTCCAAAACTTCCAAACTGTGCCACCCTTCCAAACCGTGCCACACTTATAAACCTTCCAAACCGTGCCATCCTTCCAAACCGCGCCACCCTTCCAAACCCCACCACCACCACCGCAAACTTCTGTTCTTTTTTTCTTTTTTTGAGTGTGTGGATCATCAGTTCTTGCTTGAACCATCAACTCACTGAGTCCGTAAGCTGAGGAGAACATTTGATTCACTGAAGAAGGGGGCAGACATATGACATGCCCTGGGCTTTGGCGGTAGGAAAAGGGATAGTCTGTTTAACTTACCTTGTGCTTCCTCTAGTGGCCTTCTGCCATTATTGGCTCACAGATTTTTTTTTTTTTTTTTTTTTTAGCAATAGTAGTGATGAGTGCAGTTAAAACCTAACAGTAATTTAGGTCTCAAAATCAGACTGAGCTATTAATTGTAATGCGTGTTATTGAATCTGGGGACAATATGCTGGAAAACCTGCAGGATTCTTTTTTACACACACGCAGAAGTCCCTGCGCTTATGGTCAATGCCCTTTTTGCACATGCGTTGGCCTCCTTAACCGCTTGCTGCAGCTACGAAGAGCGGGCTCTGTACCTCGAAGCCATCATCCAGAACCACCGTGAAGTCATGACATTCGAGGATTTCGCAGCGCAGGTCTTCTCCCCCTCGCCCAGCCACTCGCTCAGCGGAACGGGTGAGTGTCTGCGGTATTCTTGCCTCGACACGTAGGACGCATCCGAGCAGCAGATGTACACCTGTTTTTCACAGATAAATGCTTGCAAATTTCAGGAGAGCCTTCTCTCTCTGAATCAGCTAATGAATATCAAAGGAATGGTGACATTCATTTTCGTGTGTTTTGTATCCGAGCTGTTCACTGGGTTCCTCTCCAGCCGTCCTGTTAACCTCCGCATCTCGCAAGGTTAATGAACTTTTTTTCTCGGGCGTGCGCCCCAGTTCATTCAGCAGTGTGGGCTTCTTGCTGAGCTGGGAATATGTTGTTTAGGAGCCACGCCTGAATCAGTGCGCTTTACTTATCAAGAAAGAGGTCCTCCCAGACTCATGCTAAATGGGGATTATGCTACCGAGATGCTGGGGTCAGGGATTAATGCAAGAGACACGGGAGGACGGCGTGCCCAGGCCGGTGATGTCAGAGCGGGGCTCTCACTCCTCGCTAGTGTCTTGTGGACAGGCCGCCGACCCGAAGCACCTGGCATGGGAGTCACCGCGGAAACCAGCATACTGTCATTTCCTTTGATTAGGCTCCGGGGAAAAAATGATTTAAAAAAATAAATTCCTCAGATCTCCTTGTTTTTAGGTATTTTTTCTTTTTTTTTATGTTTCTGGTTTCAGGGAGAAAAAAAAGTGTGCTGCCACTTAAACTGATTATATGATTACTGTTTTTTCCTCCAAAGAATGGAATTATTACTTGTAAATTTCTGCATGTAATTACAGATTAATTGCCTTTCAGAGAGTAAATGGGATATTTAGTCAATGCATGTGGAAATCCTCAATGAGGGGCTTCCTGCATCTTCCACCGGTTCCAACACGACGGTTGGAGCGCTTAATAGATTTCTAACCTGCATCAATTGTCTCTGAGCACTGCCTCACTTCTCCTATTCCGACTTGTTAACAAATATCTTACACACAACGTGAAAAAAAAATTAAATTCAGTGAAATAAATCACTTACAAATAAAATCAGCCATGCATCATTGTTTAACATCGCTGGCTTCTGTGCTTGCCTCTCGGAGCTTTGTCGGGAGATAAGAGGGAGAGGCGTGCACTGGGTCGGGGAGCCAGGAGCAGCAGGCAGAAGGCTCAGGAGATAAGCAAGCTGGCAGAGGTGCGGGAGCAGGCGCGATTTACATAATCACGCCTCTGCCTCCCGGGGAGGCGTCAAGAAACACAGGGCTGGCCTCCATTGATCTCCGAGGAACCGGAATACTAAACAACACGAGAAAAGCTTATAACTTAAAGCTTTGATTAATGTTTCTTACATTAAAAAAAAAAAAAAAACTGGAACAGCTGTGAATTGAATTCTTTTATACACTCTGCCCACATTCTGCAAAAGATCCACCCCGCACCACCACCACCAGCAGCACCCCCGCCGCCAAAAAAAAAAAAAATCTGTTTCGAGAGAAATGAAGATTTAATACCCAGTCTGGCTAGGGTTTAAAATCATTTCTGATTTTATTTTTTTCGAGAAAGGACATGACGGATGCCAAGAAACAAAGCTTGTGTTTTTGAAGCTCTCATTCAGTTTCTTCCCGACCTCACGGCCTCAGATCTTGGTTCCTTCAGTGCAGGTGTCTTTTCTATTCTTTTCCTCTTTTAAACTACTGTGAAAGCCTTTGGTGTCTTACAATTTAAACAAAAAATAATAACTGGGTGTTTACATTCCTTAACTAGGACACTGTTAATGTTGCTGATTAAAAGGGTATCGTAGCAAATAGCAGTGTACTTCGGTGTGTGTTCTTACTCATCTGTAGAAATTAATTTGATGTTTTCCAAAAGCTCGTTTTATTTCAACCAAATGAAATGTGTCAGAGAGACTCCTGGTTTTTACCCCACCCTTGGAGAGGACTGGATCAGCTGCTTGGAGAACTTGGAAATTCGTAAAAGTAGCTTACTCAAGGAAAGGTTCTGTTGGGAATGTTAGAGCAACCTGAGACGGTGCACGGCACGCCAAGACCAACGCTGACCCGGCCACGCTGCGTGTCTCAGTGCTCACGCTTGAGGGCATTTGATGCTGAGTGGTGGTTAGTTTAACACACACATTGCACCTGCCCTCGCGTGTGAGATGAAATGTGGGCATCAGGTTCTCTTTGTCATGCTTTGCATATCTGCCCAGAACAAGGCTAGGAGGGAGCTAGAAATGAACTTGATTCAGTTGGGGGCGGGATGGGGAGGCAGGACAATGGGAGTGCAGCAGCTCAGCCCCCCGTGCAGGCCACTGCTCCGGCAGCCTGATTGACGTGCCGCCTCAGCTTTGGAAGAACCCTTGCCCGCTCCTACTTGGACACACGAAAACAGATTTTATGTATTCACAGTCCCCCTTGTGACGACAAGTGCAATCAAACCCAGATGAGCCAGCCAGCTTACACTAAGAGATGGAAGTGGCGAAGCCTGCTCTTCCCAGCAACAAGCCAAGTGGAAAAATTGACCCTGAGCGGCTTAAGCTCCCACAGTGCACTCAGGACCCAATCAGCCTGTCGCTGGTCGGCAGTGTCGTCAGAGCAGGGCCTTGGGCTCCTGCGCACATGCAGACGATCCCACAGCTGTCTTTGTGTCCCCGTGGCCAGGGGCTTGATGGTTGAGTGTAAGAGGGAGAGTCACCTGAATGGGGATGAAGCAGAACCCCAAGAGGCCACAAGCAGAGGGGAGGCCCCGCTCAGCTGCCCAGCAGCCTAGAAGTGGCCTGTGTGGCCCAGCACACCTCTGTGGGGAAGCAGCTCCACATGCTGCTGCTGGTGCACCCAGGGAGCTCTGGGTGTTGAGGCCAGGGATTGGCCATGCACTGTCACTATGGCTAGGGACAAGGGGCTAATGTGTCAATGTTCAGCTGTTATTCTCAGAGCTTTGTAAACAAAAAAGAAAAAGAGAGAAGAGGAAGAAACTTTCCTACTCAGAAAATTATGTTTTGTTTTTGTTGTTTTTTTACTTTGGGTTTTCTTTTTTTAGGATTTTTTTTTTTATTGGAAAGGCAAATTTACAGAGAGAAGGAGAGACAGAAAGATCTTCCTTCCACTGGTTCACTCCCCAAGTGGCCGCAATGGCTGGAGCTGAGCCAATCCAAAGCCAGGAGCTAAGAGCTTTTTCTGGGCCTCCCATGCAGGTGCAGGGTCCCAAGGCTTTGGACCTTCCTCTGCTGCTCTCCCAGGCCACAAGCAGGGAGCTGGGAGGGAAGTGGAGCAGCTGGGACACGAATTGGTGCCTGTATAGAATCCCGGCAGATGCAAGGTGAGGATTGAAGCCACTAGGCTGCCACACTGAACCCCAGAAAATTATGTTTTAAAATACAGCATGTTACTTGTCTTCATGGTATCCAGTGTCTGATAGATATCTGAGCTTTTTTTCCCACCTAGTCCTGTAGTTTTTAGTCCTTAATTGATGTAGGATAAATAATCGAAAAGAAAGCCAGTGTTAAATAAAATATTGGTTTGCAAATTTCCATGCATTATACACACACACACTCACACACATAAGGGACTCCCAAAAAGTTCTTGCAAACTATGAATTTACATGAACAATATGGATTTCAAAAATGGTTTTGGCACCAAAATACACTTTCCTTTTAATTTCATTTTTTTCATAAACTTTTTGGGGCTTCCCTGTAAATGCCCCTTCGTTGGAATAACAAACTATTTTCCATCACACTACCAAGGAACAGGACCCAGCAGAGAGGCCTTTAAAGAGTTAACTGGAGCGGCACCCCTGACTGCTGGGAGGGGCTGATGTAATCACTGCTGCTCACCGCCAAGTGCATCTGTTCACCATGAGGTCATTCTTCTGCATGCTAATGACTTGGAAAATCAAGTCTAATGTTTGACATTATCGGGAAGGATAAAAATAGTGTAAATCTTTACTTTTTTGGGCACTGCTCTTAGAGAACAAAAGGAGATAAAGAAACTTGAGATTCCCCAACTCCAACTATCATCAAGATTATGACTAGACCTTAACATCTTAGCGGAATCCGCTTGCCTCTGCTGACAAGCAAATTCCACACTGTTAGAGGCAGAGCCAGTAATCTGGTAACCCAGAACCGTAGGTGTGTCCAAGGTCAGGTCTCATCTTCAGTATTTCCAAGGACTTCAGTCAGAAGGTGAAAAGGGTGGCTTTCTTCCCTAGAGTGTCTCAAACCAAGTCCGGTGAGTGGTTTTTATCTTCAAGCCTGGGCTGACTTGTTGAAGATTCCAGCACTGGTCCTGGGTCCTCTCCAGTCCCATGTTGCTGTAGGGAGCCGGCAGGGGGAGCACACATCTTTGTCAGCCCCAGTAAACATAGTGTTTGACTTCCTCGAGACAGACTAAGGAGGGCCTCCTCACTGGGATGGGCTGCCTGGGAAAGGCACAGGGATTTAGAACAAGTGGGAGGAAATTCCTCACCGGCTTGCTCGGTTTCTGCTGCTCTCATGTAGGTCACATTTGGGGCTTAGAGCAGATTAGGCCCAGTCAGCCCGAGGATGCTGCCACCGATCCTGCTGCCACACACAACCTCCAGCTTGCATCTTCCACTCAGTTGCATGGATGCTCTCTTGGGAAAGACCGTCTTGTTCTTTCCCCCATATGGAAGAGCCTGGCAATTTTTTTTTTTTCTGTAACAAAATCATTGTGTTAACATTGTGTCTGAAGTCACCAGGCCACATTCTGGTGGGCAGTGAAGTCCCCTTTGACAACAGGGAGAAGCATTCATGCCACTGCTCCCTGGTGCCAGGGTGAGCAGGGGGCACACATGATCTACAAACTGCTTTTAGGGCTCCAGGCCTCTGAAGGCCACAGCCAGCACTCGTTTGCTGAGTCCTTCACTCCAAGTACTGTGGTTCCCGGGCAGGATACCACAGTCTTGTCATCATGTGGCAGGTGTATTCAGTCTCTCTGTCTCTCTCTCTCTCTCTCTCTCTCTCTCTCTCTCTCTCTCTCTTTTCTCTCAGTCTCTCTCTTCTCCCATGAGGCGAGTAACACACAGTGTTTTAAAAC